CACAGACATCTGCATTTTAAAAGAAATTAGAAGAGTTATTAAGCATTGCTTACTTGCTTGCACAAAAGAAATACACAACAAGTTTTAAGTGCACGCTCAGACTTGTTTTCTCTGTCTGGCTTCTCCCTTCTTCAGTGCAGTAAACAAGTTTCAAATGTATTCCTATTTCTCTTACGTAAGGTATAGTTCCAGGCCTTACTTTAATATTTCTCACTCAAATCACACTAAAAAAATACATCTTCCTGAAGGGTTATTTCTCTGATGCTTTCACTTTAGGGAGAGCTATAAAGTATATAAAGCTATACTTTCCAGAAGCATAACTTCCCTGTCCTTACATACTACTTTGAGTCCTAGTTTCACAGGTAAGAAACACAAACACTGGGAAATCTAAGGATAAAACTGCTATGTTAGGTCTTTTTCAAGGATACCACATTTTAAAGTGACCAAATATGTTTACAAGAGCTTCATTCACCTCCAATGGATGCTGTATGCTTCGCATACAGTGTCACAACACAGGCACTCAAAACAAGTGAGGAGCAGACGTTTAATGATCAGTTTTGAACACTTCTGGCCCAACAAGGACCAGAATACACGGCAGCAGGCAAAAGCTTATCTTTTGCATGCACTGCCTGGGACTTCATTCCTTGTTATTAACAGCCAGCATCTCCAACGCATCCTTAAAAGAAATGGGACAACAAAAATGCACATCCACTACACCACAGTCACTTTTCTGGATCGCCTTTCACTACAGCTAAAAATTTAAGACTTCTTGATGTCTCTTTTTGAGCCCTCCTTGTAACATCTGGATATGGAGCTTCCTCACGTACACAATTATGCAGGCTTTCTGTGTATTATGTGTGAATTGCATACTAGAACTAGAATTTCCATTCTATTTCTTCAAACTGTGTCCATTCCTTAATGCTATCCACTTCAGAACAGCGTCCACTTCCCTAAATTTCCCCCGGACCAAAAAGCTTGAAATTATTTTTAATTTAGTATGAACGAGCTACTTTTGAAGGACTTGGTATGGTTGGTGCATCTCTTCAACCACACAGAATTTAAAAACTGAAGTACATAATTTGTCTTGAAACACCAAGTCTAAGCTGTGAAAGTGCACACTTCCAACTTAGCAAAGCAGGCAGGAATGAGTTCCATCTCTGTTTCAAGACAGAATTAAACTGCAGATAACTTTGTGTGTACGTTTCACTTTCAATAAGCTGGCATTTTTAAATGGAAAAAAAAAAGCATTCCATCAAACATTTCCAACCAGTTTTAGCACTTAATAGACAAACGCAAAATTCATTTTCTCTTTTTCTTTTGCCTGTTAAGAATTACTTCTAGACACAGTGTATTACCTCAGGCTTTCATCCAACTGCTTTTCAGCTAGAGAAACCTCTTCTTGTAAAAACAAACAAATAAATAAATATCTGCAGCATTATGGACATGAATATAATTTCATTTGAATCAGGATAGCGCTCAGCGGGCCATAAAAGTCTCTTTCAACAAAGAAATAACGATTAAAAACGTGGCCCATAAAATCCATCACCATATTTGTAGGGAGGAAAAAAAAAAAAAAAAAAGACAAAAACAACCAAATAAGACATCAACAGCCACAGATGAGATTCTTTAAAAAAATAAATAAAAACACCGTACTATCTTTTTCTGTTCTGTGCATTCACAACACTAGTCAGTTGCAGAAGCTTTCACCAGATGCAAGGAAATTTTTGCCAGGATGTTTTCAAGTGGAACAACTTCCAAAATAAGAGATGAGCTGGAGGTTAATAAAAAAAAACTACCAGCTTTGTGAGTTTCCACAAATAATAAACTGAAAACGTCAGATGATTCCCAGGTATCAAATATTTTCAATAATTCAATATATTTGAATATATGGTTTCTGGTTTTCTTCCTGGTTTTGGGGGAGATTTTTTTATTTTGGGTTGTTGTTTTTTTTTTTCCCCAGGCACATTCAGGAAAACGTCTAAAGGAACTGTAACAGTCTTCTGGGACAGGAAGACTAAGGTTTCTGTAAAAAATGTTATATTAATTTTTATAGTGATGCAAAGTCAGGGAAGGGTTGTTAAGGGATGGCCTCTTGCCACAGGGTGGAGTTTTGTTTTGGTATCCTTTTAGAGTCTGCAGGTGTTTGGCAGGAGCTGAAATCAGGGCCAGCTGTGATATTTCAGCTCCGATATTTCCCTCCCCATATTTCTCAGAAGTGATGCATCAGGGTGATGTCTTACACCTGATGTACTCAACTTGTGTGGTATGACTGTAACTGCTTTGAAAGAGGGGGAAAAAAATGAGTACCACTGCACGGCTTTCAAATTTATTTTCAGCTGGAAGCATTGATACAGAAAAATTCATCAACAAGCATTGATTTAGTCTGCTAAAACATTAGCTAACAAACTGCTTATAATAGTTTTGGGTTTGTTGCTTCCAATACAAGTCAGTCACTTGATTAAAGTAATGACACTGTATAAGGACTGTGAAAGAAATCATGTTACAAAATCGGGGGAGAATGATGTTTTAAAGAAAACAAACAAAAAGCCATTCTGAAAAGAATCTGAATAGTTTCTATTAAAATTGCATTCTCTTTTAAGTTTGTTTTGTTTGGAAAACCTCAAACCACATTGTATTTCATACACATGTTCCCCAGAGTATCCTAAATAGGACCATACTGAGGTCACTGGTAAGTTTTTAAAACGTTTTAAGAATTCCTTTAATGTTTTGTACTATCTTGGTCTTGTTAAAAGAACATAGTTTTGTTTTTTTGTTTTTTGTTTTTTTGTTGTTTTTTTTTTTAATAGCTTGAAACAGTTTGTCTATAAAAAGCTTCATGGAAATAGTTTATACTGTACTATTAAAAGTTTGTAACAGTTTTTTTTTAATATTTCCTCCCTCTCATTTTTAAGAAAACTGTCCCCTTTACTATCAAGTTGGCCCCTTTTTCTCTCAGCCCCTTTAACCATACATGCAGAACCACACATACAAGCACACACTTCCATCCACAGACTGATTTACTTAGCAGTACAACTGCCTGTAGTATCCATTTTAGCTTCACAAATGAATAAATGATTACAACTGGTGGGAAAAGTGGACATTTCACTCCATTCATGGGAAAAAAAAGAGTATCACCTGGCACTTCAGCATAGTTGAAAACATACGTATATCCATGGTTTTTGGCAGCTTACTGTCAGTATGATTGAAGCTGTAATGACATTAACAATATGTCCTGGGATAAAAAAATGTGTTGTTTTATCTCAGTTTATAGAAGTTATACAAACTCCTCTTGGTCTTCTGAGTTATTTAAAATAAAATAAAATTTGAAAACACAACACACCTGCAGCTGATTAAATTCCATTAGATCATTTCAGTCATCTCCTTTAGCTGGCCCTTCCTACCTCCTTAAAGTTGCCTCCATTCCTCCTCTGTGTTATTCCAACAATTTTAAAGATTCTGTCTCTGGCTGGCTTCAGCTGTGTGCACCACTGGAAGCATCTCTAAGAGCTGAGGTGGCACAAGGGGTCAGTTTCTTCTCCCAGGTAACTGGTGATAGAATGAGAGGCAATGGCCTCAAATTGTGCCAGGGGAGATTTGGGTTGAATATTAGGAACAAACTCCTCTCAGAAAGAGTGGTCAAGCATTGGAACAGGCTGTCCAGAGAAGCAGTGGAGTCACTGCTCCTGGAAGTACTCAAGAAATGTGTAGATGCAGCACTAAGGAACATGCTTAGTGGACATGGTGAGGATGGGCTGATGGCTGGACTAGGTTATCTTAAAGGTCTTTTCCAACCTTAATTATTCTGTGATTCTATCTATGACTGGTCACTAATTGTGCCAGACTGTGCTTACAATGAATGATGACTTCATTACAGATTAACAAAGTCTGCAGAGTAGTAGGAAGAAAGTGGCAATAAATTGAAAAATGGAATTGCATTCAGATCTTATTCTGCTAGCTAATACCAAAATGGAAGAGCTCAATTAAATCTAAGTACTATCTATCAGAAGTTTATTTATACTGAAGCGTATTGGGCTTGGTGCAAGTACTTACCCTTCTTTTTATTTATTACAGTATTTTTAAGGCTTTTAATTACTAGCTAAATGACAGCTTTCCTAGAAATGTATTATCTGATCTAAACTGAGTCTGGGGAAAACAATCACAAGTAAATCAAACAAAAATATTATTATGGATCATTACAGAGAATGATATCGAGAACTTAACGATTGAGTTGAGTTTTATACATAAGAAACATCTTGCTGCTATTATAGCATGTTCTCATTGGTGTGAGCCATTCCTTCCCTGCTGTAACTGGGACTTCACAGTGCAGAGAACACCTGGATTCCACATTCTCAGATGCTGAGATAGACTTCTCCTTAAACTTAGACAGTGACCCAATGCACTACCAAGGCTTAAGAAACCAAAATTACAGACGAGGTTATAAGAGAGCAAAGCTATATGCAAGCTATATGCAAGTATGTGTGTTTATTCCAGCTGCGTGCTGTCTGTGCAACAGCAGAAGGATGAACAGGTAGAGGCACACTCAACAAAGTGCAATGGCAAAAAGCTTCTGGACCTGAATGGCCTCTCACATATTTAAAGATGTGTTGGGGACTTCACTTATATAAAGATATTTACTTACTTTATATGACTTTACATAAGATACCTTAAGATGTCAACAAATTTCCTATTTCCAGAAATAAAAGGAAAGAAGTGGGTAGGGTTTTTTGTTTGTTTTGTTTAGCTTTGTGTTTTTTTTTCCCTTCACTAAAACAAAACAACAACAGAAAATGCTTTAGGAAGTGGTCTAGTATTAAATGTGGAGGTTGGTGGCCCTGCCTGTGGTGGGGGGCATTGGAAATTCATGATCCTTGAGGTTCATTCCAACCTGGGCCATTCTGTGTGTGTGAAGGCAGTATGAGAAATCAAACACAAGTATAACACGCAACATTAACACATATACTCTTATTTCATTTCCAATAGTGACAGGAGCATGGTGACTGAGTGCCATTTATTTCACAGGATGGTGCAGAAAAGACAACTTTTTCAAGTAGTTCTATATAGAATAAAAAACAAACAAGCCCACCATACACACACAAATCAGTACCAGTATCAGTCCTTCTATGGGAAGATGATTTGAATAGCCTTTATTGCAAAGCACTGTAGTACCTTTGTGGACAAGCTAACTCTGTCAGGTTATTTAATATTTAAATGAACTCTAAGTAGAACAGGGTAACGGAGCCAATCTTATTTCAGTCTGGGAGGTTGCCATACCACAACATACGACCTTTTAAAAAGCAGTTTCATAGTGGAACCAACTTCTTAAAGTTTGATGCTTTAACAAAAAATCCCCACAGGCCATCTTTTTAATGTTGCCCCAGGCACAGCCAAGACAGCCATGTTCTGAGCATAATAAAGACTCTAGCTGTATGTTCTTCAAAGCTGAATTTTAATCCCCGTGGAAGTTATGAAGTGAAAAATTTGGCCCATGCATACTCTGCAGCACGGTACTAAATCATTTTAAGGTAAAGGAGTGCTTTTATCTGAGAAAGACATTTCTGTCCTCATGGTGGCCTAATAAGTGTTGGTTTATGCTTCTAAAAGTACAATAAACGTATTTATAACAAATGTATATAATAAACATATTGCTTTAGGATAGACATTTGCCTGGCCTTTCCAAAAAACTACCATTTGATTTGCACTCCTGACAAACACTTCTTGACAACGGACAAGGGACAGAAAAGTTTGGCTTCCCCTCCTCTTCAGCAGCCAATCATTTCTCGTTACCTACATTATTAGAAATTAATTTTAAGGAGATTAATAACAGAATAGAAAAGCTGGAACTACTGTCTCACTCTTCAAGACAGTTTGTTAGGCCCTTTAACCCAACAGAAGGGGAGGGATCAGTGAATATGCAGATATCCTAACTCTAGCTGAGCTAGAAAGCAAGAATATTGTTTAGATTTTTATGCTTCATTTTTTTCCCCCCTAAAAACTAAAAATTCTAGTTATCCACATTCTGTACACAAAAGTGATCGATTGTGGGCAACATGAAAGGTACTTTTCTGAATATATATCCAGAGGAAACGTGCAGAAAAGAGAAAATATGTATCTGACAGAATGTGATTACTAAATATTACAGTTTCTTTCCTTCTTTTATCAGACATTTTTGACATGCCATTCAAGACATGGAATACCTATGGTTTAAAACATCATGGCAGCATCTGTGTTCCCAAGCATGTAAGTAATTCAGAGATCTGTATTTATTTCTTATCACAACTTCTTATTGGTGTTACGCTCAATCCCCAATAAAAGTCTCAAATTCCATTTTAAAATAGCTGAAATGAGGTCTGAGTGACAGGAAAAGCAATCATTACTTAGAATTTGTGAAACACATGTAATAATGCATAGAAAAGACTTGTTGAAAACCAACCTGAGGCTCCGAGAATACCTGCTGTATATTGTTGATTGGACCGTATGGAACTCCACTACCTTCAAAGAGCTGCAACCACTCGACTGTTGTTTTTTCTGAGAACCTAAGAATAAATAAGAAGCATGTGGATTCGACTCAGTGCTTCAGATTGTAAAAAAGGTATAGAATCTCTCCTCCCCCTCTCACTGCTTCCATACCCTTCCCCACTGATTTCAATACCATAATGAAAATGTACTACATGTGTTCCTCAGAAATGCAAATCCAAAGGCCACAGGGGAAAGAACTTAGCTGAACTGACTTCTATCTACTCAATCTGAAGAAATCCAGTGATGATGTAAAGCTAAATTTATCAGCAGTTTCAAATAAGGATCAACGGGTTCCCTCCAGTCCTTAATTACAGTAATGTGCTTCACATTTGTTTTCTTTTATGTACATATTTAACAATAAAAAAAGTTATAAAGTGGGTATAGTCTAACATGCAACACTGTTCAATAAAAGCTGATTTAAAGCACCAGAGTGTTTTTCCTTCATTACATCCAAAACATATGTCAGGGCTAACAGCCACGTTTTTTGGTCAGATAACAACATTGACTACATGTTTATTTGCCTTATGACTGTATAATCTATCCTAAGGATATCCAGTTCAGAAAATACACACTGTGACTATGCTGGTGAATGGATTGCTTCTCGTCCTTTTGTCATCATACACAAAAAGCTTAGCTTATTTTTCTTAAGCATTCATTTTCCAGACTGGTAGCACTGTTCTACTGCATTTCTTCTCTTCTGGTCCACTTTCTACTCTCATTTGCTTGGCAGAGTTACGTATGTGAAGAAAACACACCTTGAAGCACTACCATTTACTGAGGGACAGCATTTTCTGTAGCTTTCTGGAATTTTGAAGCAAATCAACTTATTTGGAGTTCCTAAATGGCACAGAGGTAGGCCATGTTATTAGAAAGGAAAGATCTCTGTCATGATAGGAACAAACTTGAAAAGAAATGGGATGCAGCATAAAGGCCCAACAGAAATGAAATGAGTAGAAATCTTGATCTCTTGAATTACTAGTATTCTGATGCTCAACCAAGTCTTATCTGGAACAATATCAGTAGCCTCCACTATATTTCTAGCATATTCTTATGCAAAAAACAACTTTAAAGAGAAATAGGTCAAAATAAGCAAAGACCAAGCTCCTCCCTAACGCATGAAAAGAATTAAATCATTACAAAGAAAATTTACAAATTATCTTTTTATATATGCACAGAGATCAGCTGAAGACTACTCAGATTCTAATGATGCTCAGAATAAAGAAAAGAAAGAACTGATAGCAATGAGTTGACTTTATTTAATACATGGCACTGGTACGGATCCAGGCTTTACTGGAAAAATCTTTCTTCCCTGCAGAAGTGAGTTATCCATTCTTTGTGGGAGTTAATCCCAATATCCAACACAATTTTCACTACAGGTAGGAAACACCCAACTTTTGTACTGCACTTACTCAGAAATAGAATTTTTTTCTCCTCCTTAGTAGGTGTGAAGATGACAAATAATAGTGGTAGAAATTGAAGGAGTGATAACACAGAAAATCAGAATAAATGAGTATGTATGCAAAGTGTATTGTAAAGACAATGAAATATAATTTCTCAAGAAAATAGAAGATTATTACATTTTTTATTTAAAAAAAAAAAAGAGGTTATAAAACTCATTAAACAACAACAAAAAAAGAGTTTATAAAACTCTCATTAAAAAAAAAATAGTTTGGGATTAAAGGACATTCCAACTTAAATGGGATTAAAGATCCCTTCCAATCCCTAATATTCTGTGATTTTGTGATATCTGTTGTTCATTACTAAGGGAAAAATATTGCTTTGAAATCTGATAGAAGATAAGACATGGATTAAAAAATGCACACTGCCTGCAGTTTAGGTTACTAAGCATTCACTGACAGCAGTTCAGCGCTCCAAAATATCAAGTATAGACAACATAAACTTGCAAGAGCAGTAAAAGCCCGAAATTCTCTCCTGAAAATAGAAATATCTATCAGCAGGAATTTGTGAGGCCTAGATAGAGTTTTGCTCTTACTGCTTGTTTTAAAACCCCACATGCTTCCATATTACCTTCTGTATTTCCCTACTTGCCACATGATCTGCTGTTCTAAACTAAAAAATTTAGATGTCATCTGTCTTTCAGTGGGAAAGCATACATTGATGTATATATAGACATAAAATCACTGCTAGAAATACATAAAAGGCTAAAAAATGGTCTATTTTCATAGAACCTCAATGACTCCAAGTTGCTGCAGAACTCAGGCAGGTGATTCGCACTCCAATTTACTTATTTCCAGATGAATCCCTTTTCCCTCTAAAACGCTCTTTTATACACATAATCACAAAAGTGCCATTTAAATTATCTATGATTTATTTGTACAATCATTTCAATTATGTAGTTTAGCTGCTCCCAATTCTTACTAGTATTTTACATGTTCAAAATAGCTTACTTTTAGGTGTTGAGTAATATTTGAATTCATACTCATTTTGAAAAGAGTTGGGGAAAAAATGAAGAAACCAATAGGTGCAATCTTTACTGTGCAGCCTGTACTAAGCTTTTCTTCACTGAAAGCAGGTAGTGGTTCCCCACAATGTTTTATTTGCATTTTAGGTAGGACTCTGCACAGTTCTTGGGAAGCTACTGAAATCATGATACAGAAATGAGGAATCAGATTTTGCAATAGTTAACATTAAGGATATTTCAGGCTTAAAAACGCTATAAGAGCAGAAAACGTATCACGGGCTGAACTAATGTAATTGCTACTTCACAGGAAGAAATCCTACTCAATGCCTTCTTTTCCTACATTTTTAAATTCAGCAGGCACCATTAAAGAAAGAACTCCAAATTTAAACTATGCACACAGTAAGGTAATCCAAAAACCATTATAGAACCATATAAGGAATAGCCTCCAAAAGTCCAAAATTTAAATAAAAAATAAAAAAAAAAAGCTCTTACATTATTTCCTTTGCAAACCACAAGTGCAGTTGTTTCTTACAAAACAAGACCTAAACTCCCTTCTCTTTTCTAATAATTGCTAGTGAAACTCATAAGATATGCCATAAACTTCAGCAATTTTGAAGCAATGGCTCCTCAGATTATCAAAAATTATGCCACAGCAAAACATACAATTTCTGGATGCTGTGATAGAAGAAGTTAAAAGCAAAAAGATTTTCCAGCACTCTACTATGCAAGTTATCAGCCTGAGGTGTCTGGAAGTGACATAATTCTGGATATCATCATGAAAACGCTTCCATTTCTATTAGACTTTAAAACCTGCTTCTACTGCACCAAACTGATTTCAGTTTAATCTGCATTAGTAACATTCCTTTAAATACAGTCTGTGTTTATAAATATAAACTGTGTTTACAATATGTTATAAAAATATTTTTAGCCTTTTCTGTGCTCCAACATACAGCTACAATGTCTAAGCTATTCACTTAGTGGTGGTCATCACATCTCAGATGTCAAACTCATCTGCAGTGCATCAGGTCTTGTCAAACGTGTACTGCCAGTTATCTATGAGCTGTCATAGTAGGTCTTACATGTTACATCAGAAAAGTCATTTTGTTTCTGACGCCCTTTCCAAGTATGTTTTATAGCTTTCAGTAAAATGAACATCTATATAGCATGAATGAATCCATTTTGTGTACATTCCTTACATATATATTCCCCATTTTTTGTGTTATCTAGGAAACATAGTTATTGCTATATCCTATGTGGAAGTAAATTCTCTTACACTCCTCTAAAGAACAAAGCCATCCAATTCCATACAAAGTAAGTTTAGAACAACTGCAGAAGCAAAACACTGTTTTCTATAGGAAGAATATATCTAATTAATTTAGAACAATTCGAGCCAAATGGAGACATAACTGCAACATCTAGGATTCTGTGACAGTTTTTATTTTTGATTGGTTGGTTTTATTTACATAGATGACCACAAAAACCCTCTCTTCACTTCCAAGTTCACCACAGCATCCTTGTTTTGCAGCGTGACTGCAGTCTGCATTATGTTTCTTTCTATCAAAATTCATTACGTTTCAAATATCTACGTTTTCTCCCTTCAGCACTAATCATGTCTTTAAGAGGTAGTTAACACAGTAAAAGGCTGCCCCAAAAGTAATGCTTCCAATTTTATGTTGGCTCACCCCCAGCTTCATTGGAAACAAGAGTGGCAATGTTGGAATACTGCAGTTTGTGGCAGGCAGCTCCCACAGACTCTCACACAGGAATAGAAAGAACACCATATGTAAGTTCATCACAACCTACTGAACCAATATCAGGCTGAAGGTGACATTTTCCAGGGTCTCATCATTACCAGAGATGAGACCTGTTGTTAGGAGTATGAGCTGGAACGTGAAGTGGCAAGATGTGAATTCCCCATCAAAGAAAAAGTTCAAGATGCAGCCCACAGCAGGTAAAGTGATGTGCAGTGTCTTTTGGTGTAGGAAGAGAGTGATCCTTCTGAGTTTCCTGGAACCCAGACAGACCATCAATTCTGACTGCTACATCACAACTCTGACTGAGCTGAAGGCTCAAACTTCCAGATTCAGGGCAATTAAGAAGGCAACCTTTTCTCTTGCAACACGGTAACAACAGGCACCACATCAATTTGAAGACCATGGAGCACATTGCCAGCCTTAGCTGGACTGTCCTATCATACCCACCATGTAGTCTGGATTAGGGCACTCTGATTTCCATTTCTTTGGACTGATGAAAGATGGACTGCATGAGCAATATTTTCCTAGCAATGACACCATCATAGCAGCCAGAAACAGTCACCTCCACTGGAGCAGATTTTTATAAGCATGACAAAAATGCATGGTTAATGGTGGGGACTATGGTGAAAATAGTGTTTTGCAGCTGAGAATTTACCCTGCATCATTGTGCTCTCTGTATATGTTTTGTTTTCCATGGAAAAAGCAGGAGGCATTACTTTCAGAGCGGCCTACATAGCTTGTAGTTTCTTGCATTAGCATCTCTGGAAGATACTATACAAAATAAAAGTAAATAAAATAAAATAATTGAAAATTCAAATAACAGATCATTATCCCTTAATGT